AATAACGAAGTAGTTCAAAATGTGAAAGAGATTTATGACATGTACGTCGAGCAAAGAATGTTTTTCGCGGAGCAAGTGCGGCTTCTCTCACTACTACCCAGGTTATGGGGCTACGAAGACACGATGGAAAATTTGGATGCTTCCGACATGCAATCAAAACTGCTCATCAAATGCATGATGGCAACGAGTACATGCTAAAAGCAGAAAAAAAACAGATATTCGACAGCGTGTCTATCCTAACATAAGATCAAACATTTTGTCAGCTGCCTCGTTAAAAGCGATACTCTCGTTTCAGGTAAAGTGTACTCTGAAGTCTCTCTCTGGAAAAACGTCGATGGAGTTTATTGACCGGTTTATCAGTAGATCACTGATTATCAGAAATTGAACTGCTTACCGATCTACAGGCTGTCAAAAACCTGAATAGTTTCCGTTTCTACTATTTCTCAAAAACTTACATTTTATTTCTTAATTAATAGGCACGTATGGTTTCACCACTCTACGCATGGACAATGGGGAAAATGTGGAATTATCAAAGCAAATACTTCGATCTCAAAAGGCGCATGCTATTGTTAACTACAAGAAGTACTGAGATGAAGCTGACTGCGAAGGTCTCAGCAACAGAAAACTGTTTCATATTCTCAGCAGTCTAAAACCTACACAGCAACGAGTCTTGGCAGGATTGGACGAATTCGTTGTCGACGGTGTTGAAGCATGGAGCTGTCTATCAAGTATGTGATAGATGAAAGTTAAATTTACTCGTAAAGCATCAATTTTTAGTTTTCCCTCATTAAATATTGTCAATGGGATGCCCGTTCCGCAGGTCGATCGAAAACGCTTACTGAAACAAATTGATTTAGCAGAGCAATATCAAAAAGTGATCAATAGTGATCGTTGCTCGAACAAATCCGATTGCATTACAGATTGCACCACTTTCGGCCTTAGTGATCCTAAATGTCCAGAACATCAATCCAAGTGTACTCAAGCACATACTTCAGATTGTCCCAACTGTATTAATATTAGTCGGACACTTGATGTGATTGGGGAAATGATCAAAAAAATTAGCAACGAAGAGTTCAAGCGTGAGAGTAAGTACGACTTTGATAACTCATCTGAACACATCATAGAGTGGTCTCGCCATAATATTCGTAGTGCTCGGGGAAATGAGGCAAAGAACCAGACTATTGCTCAAATGGGAGATGATGAAGCCTTCTGTACATTCGACTGGGGTCAAAAAATATTACCTCAAGAATTTAGGGAGAAGCAAAGTATATATTTTGGAAAGAAAGGGATGCCTGTACTTGTCGGCTCATTTGTCTGAAAAAACTCGTTGACGACAGCTGCGACCACTACCTCTACTTTGAGACCGACTTTCTACACTGAATCTTACATTCTTGCTATAACTAATGCTGCGCAAACAGATCTTGACTTTCTAAGTGCCAATGAGATCATTATCAAGCATTTTAAAGAAGACCGCATGCATATAAAAGAAACGTTACACAAGCGCACAGACAATGTGGGTAATTTCTCTTCGCATTCAACACCCGAAGCTGAAAAATGATTTGTGATCAGGTTAGCTCTTTATATAAAATTAAGGTGAATAATAGTGTTATTTTTTATAGATCGGCATTCAGTTATTGACTCGCGACTATAGTGAAGTTCAAAAAGGTAAGGATATATGTGACAGAGTGTGTGGCGTGGCTAAGGCAAGAATGTGCCCCTGGATCTCGAATAGAAATGATTTATTCAGCGCCAACGATATTTAAGGAGGGTATGGAGTACGCCGGAGGAATCAAAAACACTAAAATAGCAGTGGCGGAAATTATATCAGGGATGAGTAAGTAGTAAATGAGCTACAAAAACTGCAGTCATTTAAGTTTGGTTTTGTTTTTTCATTTTTCATTTTTAAGACTGTTTGGGAAAGACAAATGTGCCAAATATTTCAACTATAAGATCTATTGAATACAACGCAAAAAGCATGAAAGTGTTCAAGGCTTCGAACATTGGCGAATGTGCTTCAGTGCCTTACAAAAATATTGATTTCTCTACAAATATGCGATTGGTCAGTGCTTTCACCGTTCCAATCAATGATGAAGATCACGCCATTGTGCCTAAGAAGTAAAGCCGATATCTTTCCACTATGTTTACACATTATATGGATTTACGAGAAATGATCGTGAGCATCACCATTGTTTCATGTGCCATTTAAGTGGTTGCTCTTCAACCTTTGAGTTCAGTGCCGAGCTCGACTCACACATTTCAGCCAACTTACATAAAGTTCCACCACCAAATTCACGAACATCTAATGACATGGTTCGACTTCATCTGATTGAAGCAGTACGATCCATCAATACTCAAACCAATCGAGCAACTGATAGAGTTCGAAAACAGAATGATATAATTGATGGTGATGTGTCAAATTCTGTTCATGCCCAGCATATCTCATCAGCTGGACGGACTTTGCTCACTCGCAAGCACAACAATACAATGAGCGAGAAGACCATAAATTTTATTGAAGATATATCGTTGAACTCACATAAAAATGGGTCAAAACTTACACCTGATCAAGTACAACACCAAATACGAACCCAGCGCGACCATAGAAAGGTTCAAAAACTCTTCCGATCACAAGAATACCCAACTATAAATCAAATTAAATATCATTTTCGGATATTGGGACTTAAACATGGAGTCACAGCGAAACAAGAACTGATCGCCGAACTTTTCGAACAGAACGCCGAGTATAATTAATCACTCTTTTAGTGAAATTATTTATCTATAGTTGTGTATAAATACACACTCGTTTAAGTCTTTATTGTTATCTGCATTGAATAATGTAGAATGTATTAGTCGATCTAGAAACTTATATGCTAAGACAGGACAATGACTAAGTGACGGTGTTTGTTTCGACAATCTGAGAAGACATAGAATCAAATTTTTCGTTTTTAAAAATTCTCAATCGATTTTCTATGAAATCAGAACTGATTTTTCACTTTATAGAAAATGATTGCTTTTGAAGTTCAAATTGAATTTCTATAAATGGGAAAATCAAGCATTTTCAATCTGTTCAAAATTTAATGAATAAATCATAAAGCTTTAAACATGCTTCCGCTTATTTGAGATCGATTTTCCAATTTATAGAATTCGAAAAAAAATTACAGTGTACGGTGTCAACAGAGCGCAGGGGTCGAATGCTTACGATGGAATTCATTAAATTTCGACACTGGAACCTATTGGATTCCAACACTATTGTTCCGATTGTAGATCACACACCTGCATACCGAGAGGATTTCGTCGGTTTAATGAAATACATACTATATCCGATAAGATTTCGACACGAATCCGATAGGATCGTACTACGAAAATCATTCTCCTGGGTACCAATCGGTTGCAGTTCTAAATGAAAAAAAAAGAATAATTCTAATAAGGGATAATCCAATTCAATAATTAATGGGTTTGTTTATTACGAAAAAAATGTTCTTGAACGCGATTCATTTCTTAGTAATCTTTCTAACTATTGTAATGGCTTATACTCCGCTACCTTCTCTTGGCGACTTAAATATTCGAGAATGGAATCAATTAACTTCAACAAAACGAAAAAATTATTGAGTTCTGCCAACAAGCTGATCTGCTGCATGTTCATCCTGCTAGATCATGCCCTAAGTATCATGCTAATTGGTATTTAGGCGTTTGTGCCAGCGCAGTCGACAAATAGTAGTGTCGATCTCGGACATGTAAGTCATCTCGTTTTCTACGTGACAGTACTTTTTTTCACAGAGTCGGCTCTCATTACAACAAATGTTGGATTTGATGATGTACCGATTCACAAGTTTTGGATTCGCACAAATTCTTAAAACGAAATCTAGTTATTTTAGGTGACGCTCCCTAATCTACTCTCCCTTGGAATTCTTCTAGGGAGAGTGGACTAGGAGTAACAATCGCCAATTGGAAGAATTTCATGCGTGATTTCTGTGTTGAATATTTTATACAGCATCCAACAATTATTGATGGTATTGGTCATATTGTGGAAATCGATGAAAGTGCGCAAGGACTAAACGAAAATATCATCGAGGTCATCAGGTAGATAATGAGTGGGTATTTGAAGGGATTGACCTGGATACTCGTGAATGTTTTGCTGTACTTGTAGATCGGCGTGATGCAGCGACATTAATTTCAATCAAGTACAAATTCATTATGTCTGGTTATTACAACAATTTACTGTGATCAATGGGCAGCTTATAATGCACTTAGTCATCCTAATAATGTGTCTCATCGTTATGGCAATCAAACAGTGAATCATTCTGTTTATTTTGTCGACCCAACAGCATTAGTACTCAAGTCGAACTCGTACGGCGGGGAGCGGCAGAAAAAAATGGAAATCACTGTAATGTGGAAGCAGCATTCCGGTCGGAAATTTTCGGGATTTTTCCTGTGAATTCCCAGCGATTTCGTGTGCTTTCAGACAGGAACCGATTGGAAAATCATCGGAAAGCAACCGAAAATTCCCTGCCGGAATACTGCTTCAGATTCTCGCGATTTCCAGTGTTTTCCTGCAGAATACGTTGTTTTCCCCGCATTTTCCTGTCGGTTCCCGCAGTATCCGTTCTCCGGAATCATTGACCTGGGTACATACGCAGAACATTGAAAATATTTGGATGGTCGCCCAGATTAAGAAGAAAAATCAAATGAAGCAATATCGTACATCACTGGGTGGTTACTTATTGCAATTTATGTGGCGTCGTCGATTTGGTAATCTTCTATTTGAGAGCTTAATTTGTTTAATTCAACAACAATATCCAGTCACACAAGTAGGTATCAAGTAAGTATTAAGTAAGTTTGTTTTTCTTTGTTCTTCTCGCTTAATTTCATATAATACTATTTTTATTACTTTTGACTTTTGTTCTAGACTTATCTTCATCCTAGTTGTGTTCTCTTGTTTTTCTTCTTTTTTTAAAATAAATAACATGAAGTATTTATTCAACTCATTTCTTTTACTACAAAACTCTCATCAATATAGAAGTGTACGCCATCTGTCTCTCTCTCTCTCGTATCGATTTATTTTTCATTCGCTGAATTAGATGAACCAATAACTTTTCTTTCCTTTTTTCTTATTGTTAGGACCAATAATAAACTCGGAATGTTGTTCATCTGACGAAGTACCTCTATGCGTATTGATTCATGTTTTTTTTCATTCGAGAATGGCCAAAATGAATCTGTCTATTACTAATAATGACAAAGAAAAAAAAATTGAATTAGGAATTTTTTTATATATTTATTCTAGATTATTCTCATTAAAATTATTTTAATCAAGTTTTTTACTTCTATTGTTGAAAAATGACTGAGAATAACAATGAACAAATGGATGTCGGAACTGGTACAACTGACAACAATATGGTTGATGATGTTGTTGCTGATGCACCTACAGCTAGTCCGAGTTCTGTTGAACCTGTAGCTGAAAGTTTAACTTCAAAATTAAAATTAGCAATAAAAACGCCTAAAGAGAAAAAAGATATATCAATTGATGGTTCATCCTCTGTTAAACAAGTAAATAAAAAGCTTGAATACATTTAAATATTTCACGAATATTTCTCTTCAATTAGCTGAAAAATCTTGTGGCTAGTGAATTTAATACATCCATTGAGCAAGTGTGTCTGATTTATTCAGGTAAAATTCTCAAAGATGATGAGGATCTGAAAAAACATGGTATGAAAATAAAATATTTTTTAAATGATAACTTCGAATTTCTATTATTATCTGAATACGTAGATATCAAAGATGGTGTTACTCTTCATTTGGTTATCCGCGCACCTAAAAACGATCCAATGTCAACAAATACATCTGAAAATCCAGCAGCAGTACCTAGTGATACACAAGCTTCTGCTAATAATCCGAATGCAGCACAAGCAAATCCAAGTGGTTTTCCATTCGGCCTTGGCTTAACAGCTGGAATGGGAAATTTAAATTTTGCTAATACAAATTTTCTTGATATGCAACAACAACTCCAACAACAAGTAAAAAAAATTTAAATATAACGGAGACTTCTTGTTTAGGTTCAATCTGAATAAGATAGGTTTACAAATTGAATAGTATCATTCTTATAATAAATTAACAGAAAAAAAATAGGAATGACACGAATGTTTCTTCTTCAAAAACAAAGAACCGAATTATAAGAAATGACAAATGAATCTTTCAGACACAATGCTTCAACATATATTTGAGATTTTATTTTAAGTTGTTGTTTTTTCTATCTGAAAGGTATTGCGAAATGACTAACCTTCTTATTAATAGATATTGGCAAAGTTCTGAATTAATCTTTTTTTTCTGCTATAGTATGCCATGAATTTGTCATGAAGACTCTACTTAGTGTGTACTGCAAATTTTCAAAACACAAATGAAAACTTAAAGTTTTTCGAGCATGTTCGACTACAATTATGCATTTTTAACTTCATGCAAATTAGATTACGAAAAAGAACTGTTTGAATGATACGAAAATATTTCAGTGGCAAAAACGACTTTAACTATAACTCGATAAATTTGGGCTAGTAATTTTTAATTGAAACGACTCCATTTAGAATGATTGGAAAATATAAGATTTTGATTAACATCTATTCACCGGAAACATTTTTTTTACTGTGTTCCAAACCATTGTTGATTAATAGACACACTTTGCAAGAAAAGAGCGATGAAAAAATGTTGATTTTCAAGCTGACCATTGGCTTGAAAATTTTATTTTTACCATCTTATCATTCTTCATCGCAGAATTATCAAAATCTATAAAAGATAGAGAATAAGATCAATTTTCTTACTAGATGAATGATTTCTTCTTGATTCTAGTAGCTTGAAGAGAATATCATCTGTCAATGGTATACTAGAAACATATTTGACAACAGTAACTATTTTCAGAGAAGTATTTTTTATAGAGCATTGTGATGAAGACTTAGCAGAAATTTGTGGAGTTTTTACAATCAATTCTTGTCAGTCTCTCATAGAGAAAAATCTTGGCAGAATTTTTACACGAATAATTCCGTAATAATTTAGTCAATGTTGCACATAAATCTTATGATAATGTTTCTGTATAAAGTATTTTATAGATGAATATTTTTTAAATTTCTTTTTTTATGTTGATGGATAATATGTATTTTTCTATAGATAATGAGTAATCCAGCCCAACTTCGCCAATTAATGGAAAGTCCAATGGTTCAAAGTATAACTAGTAATCCAGATTTATTAAGATCATTATTGCTTAGCAATCCACAAATGCGTGATCTAATGGAGGTGAATTGATTAAGAATTTGAATTTTTGTTTTTATAAAATAAACATTTTCAGCGTAATCCTGAAATATCACATTTACTTAATAATCCTGATTTACTTCGACAAACAATGGAATACGCTCGAAACCCAACAGCCTTACAAGAGCTTATGCGTAATCATGATCGCGCTTTAAGCAATCTTGAAGTAATTCTGCTTTTTGTTTGATTATTATTCTTGATTTCAATATATTTTCTTCTAAATAGAGTATTCCAGGCGGTTTCAATGCTTTACAACGTATCTATCATGATGTACAAGAACCCATGTATTCAGCAGCACAAGAACAATTTGGTAATAATCCATTTACACAATTATTTGCTGGCAATGATGGTATACAAAATTTTTATCTTTTTACCATGTTTTTAGTTTCCTTTCATTATAGAAAACGCATCTGCATCACGTACAGAAAATACGGACCCGTTACCAAATCCTTGGGCACCTCGGGGCACTGGTACACCATCAGCTACTGCACCTAATCGTCAACAGCAATCAACTGGTGTACCAAATAATCAACAACAACAAACACCATCCGCAATTCCAACTGGTGCTGCCGGCAGTTCACCTGGCTTAATTTCCCCAATGATGCAAAATTATATGTCACAATTAGTTCAAAATCCTCGTTTACTCGAAAGTGTTCTTAATGCACCATATATGCAACCATTAATGGATTCTCTTGCTGCCAATCCAGATATATCAAGACAAATGGTTGCTAATAATCCAATGTTTGCTAATAATCCAGAATTACGTGAACAAATGATCAACGCTTTACCAGCTATGATGGAACAAATGAGAAATCCTGAAGTACAATCATTAATGCAGAATCGTGAAGCACTTGAAGCTATTACACAAGTTCAAGAAGGTTCGAAGAAAACTTCATATGAAATAAAGATTCCATAATTTGATTCATAGGACTCCAACGTTTACATACAGCGGCACCTAATCTTTTCCAAGCGTAAATTTATCAATAAGCAATTTTGAATGAAAAACTGATCTATTTCTTGTTTGTTTAGTGGTGGTTTACCTGCTGGTCTTCGTTTTGGCGCAACTGGTTTAGCTTCACCAATTGTTACTGGCAGTTCAGCAAATGCTACTTCTACTACGTCTACACCTTCAACAGCAGCAACTAATCAAGCTCCTTCAGCAGCGCGACCAGCTGGTACGACATCATCATCAACTGATTCAAGCAACTATGCAGGTGTATTTGCTCAAATGTTGAATATGATGTCAAATCAAAACATTGTATATATTATTTTCTATGTGAATTATTTTATGTTTTTAATTTTCTAGAATACACCACCGGATCAACGTTATGCTGTTCAATTAGAACAACTTGTTTCAATGGGATTTACTAATCGTGAAGCGAATTTACAAGGTGATCATTTTTTTTGTTTCCGTTGATATTTATTTAAGATTTTTTTTATTACTTGAAGCACTTACAGCAACAATGGGTGATGTAAATGCTGCAGTTGAACGACTTCTAGCCCAAATCTAACTGTTTTTCAATACATTAATGCGATCGTTTTCTCTCTTTTTCTTCTTATTCATACTACAAAAAATGTCTTCTTTTTCTTTTCATCATCTTTGGTCGATTCATTCAATCTGGATAGATTTTTTTTCTTTGCTGAAGAGTAACACACACACTCATATATATGTATACAGACATAGACGAGTATTTTGTTTGTCTCTTTGTTCTTTTCTTTTCCTTTCTTTTATTGAACTTCTCTTTTTATATGTGGATATGAATGCTTGCATGGAGAAAACACATAAAAAAGGGCTAAAAAAATGTTTCTTTATGTATTCACATATTTTGCAAAAAAATAACTTTTGTTTCTATCATCGTCTGTTGTCTGTGTATATGTGATTGTTGTATTTGTATAAAGCAAAAGAAACACCATTTTCAATTTGAAACGATAAAAGTAATAATGTATGCTATTGGATTTCAATACAATTAATATTTACTGGAGATATGATGTGCAAATGACAATATCTTATTATTGAGTCATTAAGAAGCATCGTTTGACTAAATGTTTTTTTCTTTATCGTTTATTAAAATAAAATTGAAACTTCATTAACGGAACATCCATGACAAGGAATTTTCAAAGGACGATTGAATCAACTAATATGTTGCATCAATCAGTTACTAAGAGAATATAATTTTCTTTTGTTTTTGTTCGTTTTGAATGAAATTGAAGTGTACTCTGTATGATTCAAAGAATTTCGATCAAGACAAACCGCCAAATTCATGACAAATGTTGATATGTGACTTAAAATAATTGAATGATGATCTAGATCTAGTCTTGAAGCAAGAAACGTTTTGTGTCATAAAAAGAATTGTATTAGTGACTTATATTCGATGAGAAGCACAAATACTAAAATGTACGTTTGATCAGTTTACTAATCAAACTAAAAATAATAACATATAAAAACCAGAATTCCAACTGAGTTAGAATAGGACTAGGTATTCTGTCTCATGCGATCCCATAAAAGATCTATCATTAAAACGATTTGTTGACACCTTGATTGTATTCAAGTAATGGTTCATAGTATTATCTTGGTGTTCTTCGAACTGTTGCTGCTACATTTAGATGATGTTTTTGTTGAAATGTTATTTTAATTACGTTCATTAGGCTATTTTCTTGAAGGCTTGGAAATAGTCGATTTAAGAAAAATTTATCAACCCTGATGATTTTTTTCATTTTCTTGTTGTCCAGACTTGCCTTCTTCACTTTGATTTCGCTAAATGACTCTCTTTTTCTGGATATTTTAACTCTCTCTCTCCTAGAAAAATACCCAGTTGAAAATCATAAGATTGTTCGATAAAGTTGAGAAAGTTTAGATCATATTTGTAAAATCTCAGAAAACCGGAAACACCTACCATATTACATCTACGCCATATTCTAGTTTGTTGAAGTTTAGGGAAAATTAAAATGAACTCCTAGAAATGAATTAAAATTTTCTCTTATTTAGGAAACTGAATTAGGACTTAGGGCTTTCTAGTTTTCTTAATATCATATAAATAACGGATGCGGCATAAAGAATGTCATCATTGGCATTTTTTGAATAGCTCGGTTATCTTTCAATGTAGAGAGCTGATCTTGAGGCAAAAAGATTCCTCTTTCAATTCTCTACAGAACTCTGAGATGAGAGTAAGAATGATGACCAACTGTGAATTCGTAGGCTGTCAGCAATTAATTGTCTCGAAAAGCAGAATTTTCCCGTGTACACTGTTGGACTATTGATTATCGCTCGGATTGTGTTCAAAAAAATGGAGCAAGGCACGATAAGGTGGAGCAACCTATGGTTTTTGACATGCTCTTGCCAGATTTGGTCGAATTGGTTCTCGGGAGAACGCAGGTTTTTTCTATTGGGGTAGATTATCTTGAAAAGACGCTGAATGAGGAAGGCTGTGGTTACCTTGAGTGCCAGATGCGAAAAGAAAACTTCTAATACAGTGAAATTTATTCGAGATGATGAAGAACGCTGCTCGTTTCACCTCTGGGGAAAAAAATGAGAGAAAAGTGGCGTTTGCTCCGATTGGAAAATATTCATAATGACATTTAGTCACAGGATATTCAAAACTGCGTATGAAAGCAAACTGAAACAGTCTCACTGACGAAAGATTGAAATCTAACCCTTGTGACTGTCGCTCAGCTAATAGATGGCACCAAGACCACACAAATGATGACATTAGTTTGGGTTCTCAACAACCGATAAATAGTGAGAAATTGAAACCAAAATTAGCAGTGTCGGAAGTTCTAGTTCTCGAGACACTTAATGGTTGACTACATACGAACTCACAGTTGACCATCATTCTTAATCTTATCTCAGGATTTTGTAGAGAATTGAAAGAGGAATCTTTTTGAACCAAGATCAGCTCTTTGCATTGAAAGATAACCGAGTTATTCGAAAAATGCCAATGATGACATTCTTTATGCCGCACCCGTTATTTATATGATATTAAGAAGCAATTAAAATGGTTTATTAGCGTTTTTTTCTATTCATAGACTTCGAACTTATGTGTTAGCTTGATTTTTCTGAATATCTAAGAATAACTGAAAATGTTTCCATACACTGATACTCTCAGATGTACTGTTTAAGATAGTGTGAATTCTGATAAATCATGTAATTGATGACAATCAGAATAATCCCATGCGTGTTTAGATAAAAGAATTCGAGTTCCGTTCCATTCGAAGCTCTGATAGAAACACACATATTATCCAGATATGAACTATGCTATTATACTTTAACTTAAAATCTGATCCGATCAAATAGTTCGTGTTAAGATGTAAAAATAATAGATTAATAACTAAACAGTTAGTCGTGCTTTTTGCGACTAGTTAAATCCTATAAAATTAATTTTTGAATAGTAATGTTAAACAATAATTATTGGGTGCCCATAAAACTATTTTTTAGAATTCAAAATAAATATTAGAAGTTTTTCTTCAATATGAGTCAAGACGGTCCATTAGATGGAGTCAATGTATTTGTTTTTTTTTGTCTGAAATAAATAACCTTTTTTTTTCTTATCATAGAAAGCAATTTTTTCCTTCATGCATTCATTAAAACACATATTGACAGTCTTCTAGAATTAGTGTTATTGGTAAGAAAAAAATTGACAAATAATGCGAACACAAGTATTTTTATGTGGTTTTCAACCGAAACAGTTAAAAAACAAGACGTTCATCAAAAGTAACTTTCACTTTAAATGAATTCAACTACTCGATACTGAAGCATTTTCAATAGCAACAATCATAAATAGTTTTGTTCGAAATACAAGTAATATTTTCCTTTCAAAAACAAATTTTCTATTTATATGCAACTTGTTACCAATAATTCCATTAATTTTCATGTTAAATTAATAAAAATATCGAATAATAGTAAGTATGATAAACCTACATTTTTACATTTTCAAACTATTTATTTGAAATCTTGAACATTAAAACAAATAAAATATCTCTGAACCAAATATTATACCAATCATAAACCCACATGATTCTTTGAAATTCATTTAATCGATATTTACATATTACATAATAATGAGAAAGTCTTTTATCCCTGTACTAAGTCACGATTTGAAATTAAAAATAAAAAGGTTTGACAATAGTTGTGAAGAACCAAAACAACAGAAACATTTCGATGAAATTTCTCTTGAAAAGGCTGATCAAATTGTACATCTCAAGTAAGTGTCCTATTGGTCAAACGTAACGCATGTAACGGCTATCTTTTTTCTTCCACATACTAACAACTAAGTTTTATATTATTGAAAAGATAAGTTTCGTGAAAAAACTCGTTCTTATGTGGCAAATGCCCTTTTTTTAAATTTATCTAGCACTTTATTTGATGCACGTTTATATCTACATAGATGTGTCTACATGCATATCTATAGTCCATTATTCTAGTACAAAATGAATCAAGTCTCCATGAACGATAGTTGTATAATCACGATCGAAAAACAATTACTTTGGATTACTCATAATCGAAACTTAGCTGATAATTCGCTTATTTTATTAAATTCACTTGATGAACCAATTACTAGATGCATCTTATTTAATAGATGTTTGATTTTAGTTGTTTTCAATACAAGTTTTCTTTCCTTTTTATTGATCTACAGTTATGAATGTTCATTCAATAGAAATTTGATTTCTATAAATCTCATTTTGATTTTTTTGTTCGAATAACTTATAAAAATTTAGATGAATTCATTTAACATATATGAATATGATCTTTCTACTGGTAGTTTTTCTTTCATCGTTATTACAGAAATAAGATCAGAAGTTTTAAATCAAATCTGATCTTCATCTAATCGCTCATCAGCTATTCTTGATAGAATAGATTTTTTCTGATCTTAAACAAGAAAATGTTGTTTTTATTCAATTGATTAGATATTTTTTGCGATTATTAATATGAACAAACATCGAACCGAACATTGTTCATGAGATTAATTTTTCATTGAGCACTATGAGTCAAATTAAAATACATGATATCGATTTTCAGATGCTAATTAAAATATCGTTGGTGCGACTAATATCATGATGAGTTATCGATGTAATTTTTCTGTAGTCAATGTCTTAGAAGAAAAAATAAATGGAACTTTCTTATTAAATTATATACATAGAAGGCAAACCAAATCAACAATGAAGATTTAATTATTACTGCATCATTGAACATCAGTAAATTTTCAAATCGAAATGGAATGTTTGAAAATTATTAAATACCTTTTTGGTGGTGTTGTGGTCAATGATTTCACAAGATCTCAAAACTTTTTATTACGAAAATTTTAAAAAGAAAGTTGAATAGTCACGTTCAAATATACTTTTATAATTATTATTATAATTAAACACCTTATGCACTACATATACTTTTTCTTGAATAGAAAACAAAAAGAAGAAAATAGAAACGAAATTAACGAACTCAAGTATCTCTTCTTCAATGTCGACTCATTTCACTTCTATAGTTTGAAACGTGTGGTTCACACTAGAAAAAGTAATAGGAGAATTGAATAATCTCATTGACATGTCATCCACTCATAGCCATCATATAAAATGTATATAGATCATGAGACATATGTTCTCTTCTTACAATACATATATATTAGGGGGCGGTGGTCGACAACTAATTAGTTATAATTACTCATAGAACTGGTGTGACTTTGATTCTACATTCACGTTGTATATTCGTTTTTATTTTTATTTTTAAGTAGATACATGTGCTACATCTTGACGCACACGCATATAGCCGAGAGGGTCGATCCATATGTGAACAAAATTCACGGTTGAACATTGTGTTTGATCCTTATAATATGAAGATTTCTTAGTGTTCATTACACACTTATGTACGTTATACGTGTGTGTATTTGTCGTTCATTGAAAAAGAAAAAAAAGCGCTTTTGAATCGGGTAAGGGCGGGTTAAGTGTGACAAATAAGCGAAGATAGTAATAAATATAGCAATACGTAAACGACAATAGAAAAGAACGTTGAAGAGTGCGGTATATTTGATTGAAAGAACAGGTAAGAATTTAAAAAACAAATGGCAACACGTTTCTTTCGATTGTCAAGTGGCCGATTATGAACACATCATAAACAGCAAACAATATATTTTCAAACGGAAAAAAATCAATTTCACACGGTCAATTCAAAGTTACTTCATAGAAACGGAACTAAGATTGATTTCCATCGAGATGTATGCATACAAATCACTCACTGATGTTCATATACACACTTCATTATGTATGTGTATTTGTTGATCTCAGCATACATATATATATATACGGGAAGATATATTTGAATATTCTTATGTCATTCATTGTCTTAACAATTCTATCAAATGTGAGAATAACAAGAAAACAAGCTGTTCTCTCTTCTTTCGAGTTCATCAGTCGCCTGCCACCGTTGACTAATCTAACATCAATCATGTGCGCTCCGTTGATCTTTGACTAGTTCGTTCTCCATGACATCACTTTTTTTTCTTCTTCTTCTTCTTCTTCATATCATATATATTGCCTCTCATTTATTCATTTTCATACCATTTTTCTTATTTCACAATACCAGCACGTACTCATCCTCGTTTATTATTTTTGTTAACCCCTAAAAACGAAGCCATTTTAAAGAACAAAAAACAGATGTAACTATAATCCTTAATCACATGATATCATGTGGTTGTGTTTTTTCCCTTTTTATTTTTAATATTCTATTCGCAAGAAAACCAAGCTTGATACTTAATTTGAATTTTTGTTGTTGTTGCTGTTTCGATAACATAATATCTTTCTTCTTGACTTTCGTTTTTAACTTTAAAGATATCGTTATATATTTTAGACGAACGATTTGTTTCCTTTCTGTTTTCTATTGAACATTATTTTAATGAGTAATACAAAAATAAAATGTTCACAACATCCGTTTCTTTCGAAAAATGTACGCAGGTGATTTTCTCACAAACGAGCTACCAACTGTCCACTATCTTTTTTTCTCTATAATTGTCGCGCACGAGGACACACTTCACTCACGGAAATGGTCGTGGACAGCTGCTCAATAATTTTCTCTTTTCAGATCGATACATTTATCATTTAATAATGACCACATTTATATCAAGGTAAGCCGTTTCTTGTTTTATTCATACTTTAACCATTCATATTAACAAGCATTCTGTATTGGTTTAATTTCTTTTTTGCTACACTTGATCATCATCTTCTTTTGCTTAAGTAAAGCCGTTTAGACTTGCTCGTGCTCTAATGTCTCTCTGATAGATGAAGTGTGTTACTTGTCCTCTTCGTGTAAAGTCATATTTCACCATTGATACAAGGGAGAGACAGAGAGCGACAGAGAAAAATAATTCTCATTCTCTCTTCCTCTTTTTTTTTCGTCGGGAAAAGAGATAATCTTACATACCTGAAAGAGAAAAGAGAAATGTACAGAGATTGGTTAACAGAATCTATTGGTGGGTAGATGATAGCGGAACTATTTCATCCATTGCATTGCATTGACGAACAATCTTCGACATTCTCTCTCGCTTATATCTATCCTCGTGTTCTCTCTCTCTATATATATATGCTGTATGTGTTTATTCAGCAGTGTACATACGCATATTACAGTAGCACCACTAAAACTATTAGAAATCATCAAAAGAAATCCGAAGATAAGCTTTTCTCTTATTCAGATATATCTATCCTTTAACACCTTTATTATTGTTTGTCTTTGGTCAATTATTTGATATATTATAAAAAAAGAAAAATATATTCATACAAAATGATGACCGCTAGCAATCTAATCGAGCCGGCACGATTCAAGTAAGTAAGTGAATATGTGCTGATGAATCGTTTGATGACACATCTGTGTGTGTGTGTCGACAATTGTAAAGACACACAAAAGCAATCATATCTATTCTTTTTGTCATTGTATTTTCAATCATTTATTTGTTCCCACTACCACCACATGTGATGGACCATCGCCACGCGAAGATCATTTCTTATTAAGCTCGAAACAAACAACATGTCTTGTTTGCTCATCGAATTAACTTCTGTGTGTGTGTATATATGCGCGTGTGTGTATGTGTATGATGTAACTTTTTCTTTTTTGATTGTTGTTACTTGATCTATTTTGCTTTCGATGATCATCACTATCATGATTTATTCATATTAACTTAATTTCATTTTATAGTATGCCGTCTGGCTGGTCAGCATCGTTACAACTTAAAGACCTTGATCGAACTAGTTGTTCGATCAAATCTGAAGAATCAACATCAACTGATGAATTAGATGATGATCAAAACAATGACGGAGAAGGTGTTTGGAGTCCAGATATTGAACAAAGTTTTCATGTAAAGTTCTGTTCTATTCTATTCTTCATAATTTTCTTTTTTTTTAAATCCATAAATCAATTTAGGAAGCATTAGCTATTTATCCTCCATGTGGTCGAAGAAAAATTATTTTATCTGATGAAGGGAAAATGTTTGGTAGAAATGAATTGATTTCACGTTATATTAAAATGCGTACGGGTAAATCACGCACAAGAAAACAAGTATCATCACACATTCAAGTTCTTGCCAAACGAAAATCAAAAGAACTTCAATCATTATTCAAAGTAATTAAACAAATAAAAACAATGACAAATGAAAAAAAAATCGAATTTTAGGATTCCAATTTAAAAGAACAACATCGTCCATTCATTATGAATCAATCTTATCATCCATTGCGTGATACACCGACAGCATCACCGATTATAAATGATAGTACCTCACCCTATTATACACATCATCGAACAGCCGTTTCACTTTTTTCACCAACAACTAATATGAATATAACACCAGCATCATCATCATCTCCATTTAAACCGACGCTCTCACCATATTCATCACCATCAACAATCGTATGTTAACACATATTTTATTTTTGTTGTATGTCAAAATTTTAATATAATAATTTATTTGTTTAATTTAGAGCCTTTGGCAACAATCAGCAACGCCTTATGTTGAGTAAGTATTTGATTTTTTGATTTTAGATCAAATAAATCTATAAATCTAAATGAAGTCCTTTTATTAGTATAAAACCATATTCTCCATCATCGGCAACAACAACTGATCTTATACCAACAGCAAGTACAACTAATTCTTTAACAACACGTTTCATCAGTTCTAATCGATTGAAACTTGTTGAAGTTGCTTCTTATGTTGAATATAAACGTGACATTGATCCAGTAAGTCATTGAATTGTTTTGTTTGTTTTTCATCTGCAATCAATGAACATTTGTTTTTCTTTAGAGACATTATCTTCTTCATATCAGTCAAGAAGCTGGTACTGTTATGAAACCTGAAGTAAGTTAATCAGATTAGTTTTGCATATTTGAAATATTTTCTTTTAAAGCGTATCAAAGTGAGCCAAATAGTCGATTTATTTCCAATGTTGAAAGAGCTTTATGACAGAGGGCCACATGATGCATTTTATGTTGTCAAAGTTTGGGTATAAATTTATTGGTTTTCAAGTTTTTGTTTTATTTTCTATAACGGATTTGTTTGTTTTTGCTTCTTAGGTTAACATGAATCATCAAGAACATGATTTTAATACACATCATTATTCCTCAATGTAAGAAAATTTCGGTTTCTTTTTCTATATAAATTTAATTTTTTTGTTTTTTTTTGAAAATTATAGTTTTGAATGTTCAGAGAATAATTTACATATTTGTGTAACAACAAAAGCATGTTCTTTTGGAAATACTGTTGCTGAAAAAATCGAAGTATGTTATAAGATGAATAAATATACAATTAAACATAGTTTTTATTTTTAGAATGGTGTTACAAAATATAATGAAATTATTGGTAAATGTATTCATCGTTCAATTGATACAAGAATGTGCAGTTTTATGATTAATTTTATAAAAAAACTTCGAACAGAAGTAGACATGCGTGACAAGATGAATATTGTACTTGAACATTTAGGTGTACTTCAAGTTAGTATTTCATTTTTTTGTTCTTCAAAATAAAATGAATTGATTTTCTTTTTTTTGCTATTTTTTAGACAGTTATATCAAAAGATACGGATGAATTACTTTTATGTATTGCATATATTTTTGAAATAAGCGAATCGTCAGCAGGAACACAATCGGCTGCTTATCGCTTATGCGATTAAAATTGAACGATTCTTTTCTTTTCTTTTCTTTTTCGTTTGAGCCCCTCCCAAAGAGTGCCGATTTGGCTGTGCAGATATAATGATCATTCACTTATCCCTTCAGCATCATGATGTTTTTTTCTTGTTCATTCGCTACAGGATTTCTTTTCTTTTCTTTTCTCCTTTTCTTTTGTTTTCTATTCTCTCAATATTATTCTTGAACATGTAGTTGTTTTCGTTTGCTTTATACTTGTACCACTGCGCCCGCTTCTTTATTGCTGCTATTACTTTTTCTTGTCTCTAATAAATTATTTTTCAAGATTCTCTCTTTTTGCCTTATTCGTTTTTTCAGTCTACACATACATACATTCCAATGTCTGTCTATATATGATTGTGTCGAAGAAAAACAAATCGACGGTGATTTATTGACTTGTGTCAGACGAAACAAAGTTAATTTACCATATCGTTGATCTTCTTTTTTTCTTGGCTTTTTCTCATCCAATTTAGCTGTATCTAAGAGAAGAATTCGTATAAAAAGAAATAGTATTAGTTGTATGTACTAGCATTTAATTAGAATGTAAGACAAGCTCCAGTTGTAAAAACATTACAATGGTGACGAAAAAGAAAATATGATTGACGATAGAAGAGAGGCGTGTTAATTGCTGCATCGAGTAAAAGATCATTCATGATAGAATCAATGAACTCGCAAATGATCGTACAGTTAAGATTTGTTTGCCATGATAACATATATAACACCAGTTGTCAGTGACGATGATCGATGGAGTGTGTCGTTGACGTCGTTGAGTGCTGCCTAATTCATTCGACAAGCATGATACTATTAGAAGAATAGATAAGAATAGATGGATGCAAACACCTATGGCCTATGTACATTAATTAGCAAAGGAATTTTTCATTATTCAAACTGTGAAATAAATCTGAATCTATCTATTGAATGAAAGTTCGAATTTTTGTTTGATTGAGATATCAAATCGTACACAAACATTATGTAAATGATGCAAGTTATTTTTATTTTTTGTGCAAATTCAGAAGATTATGAATAAAAATCATTGATTCATGATAAGTTCAATTAAATAAGTTAAGTGTATGTTGACAAACAAAAAATTAGTTTACTTTCCTTCAGTTATATTTAATCATTCACGATAGCTAGATCAAGTTCATTTTATTGTTTTCACAGACTTTTATATATGATCATCTAATGTAGATTTGATTCAGAAATCTTTTCTATATTCTATTCAATATTGATAAATTTTGAACAGATACATTCGGCTTTTTTAAAGACTTCGATAGAAATATCTTAATCATCAGCTATGATCCATTTATAAAAGAAATAATTTCGTGATATATATATATATATATATATATATTTGTTTTTATTGCATATTCGAGAAGACAAGTGATGCGAAACTATAAACATCTTTGTCACGTTTCATTACTTCTGAGCTAACGTTGTAACAAAGGATTTTTCCAATGTCCTTTATTATTATTCAGTATTTTTGATAAAATCATAATAATTACTGAGGCCCATAGTCCACACATTGAATTTTGAGTTGCCCATTGTGTTTCTAAGAGTTGTTTAGGATCATTCAATAAAATCGATTGTAAAATTGATTTATCATGAATGCGAGCATATTCTTCATTTTCAAAAAGAAATTTCTACTCGATTTTGACCATAATTCGGACCAAATGATTGCAATCTATGGTAGCAATGATGACTAATTGTTTATCTAGAAAAATTTTGTTCATTCTTGTAAACGGATAAGAAACAATAGTTGCACAAAATAATATTAGATAAGTCAGTCTATCCTGATCGAAATCATTCTCCATATGATGAAAAAATGAAATTTATTCACGATAAATACGAAAATTCTTATTTCTTAGAAAAGAAAAAGAAGAAGAAATTTAATTTATTGGTTGAATCTGAATTTGTTATGATTGTTCATACTGATCATCAATACAAATCAGTTGTCGATACATACTGATTCCTTACTTAATTTCTTTACAAACTTGATATCCTTTATTTAAATCATTTAGTCTTGAAAATGAGTGCCACAAATTTTGCTGTCGATCGTAAATATTTCAAAAATGGAAGTTGGTTTTCAATAGAATGCTCATTCTGGTGAGCTTCTCTATCGATTATTTAGCTACCTAAGATTGAAACAAATGTATTAAATAAATCTATATGAATATCCACGACGCCAAGTGGTGTTTGCCAGTTGTCAGAAGAAAGACTCACATTAGATGAACCCTTTGTACAATGATTTGTTGCGATGATAAGTGCTGTATCGAATACAAATGAATTCGTCCAATAATAAGCTTGAGCCTAAAGAGGTTTTGAATCACAATAAGTACCATGTGGTACAAGCATACATGGAATAAATGATGCATCATCGTTGCTCGTACCATCGAATTCGAATGGTAGTTGTCTTGGTCCTAATTGATGTAGATAAGACCAGAGCTGGGCAAGTCAGAGATTTTCCAAGTCACAAGTCAAGTCATCAAAAAATATCTCAAGTCAAGTCAAGTCAAGTCAGACCCCAAAATTTTTTTCAATCAAGTCAAGTCAAGTCAGACTCCAAAAATTTTTTGACCAAGTCAAGTCAAACCAAGTCAACTCAAATTTGTTTAAAAACTAGTCTGAAAATAAAATTTTCTAGCATCTTTCGGTTGAGCGACAGTTTTTATAAGCTCAGAGTTCTTTTTCATGTAGCGAAAATCACCTAAAATAAACAAAAATTATTTACTAGATTTAATTTGACTTAAAAAGATTTTCAAGTCAAGTCAAGTCAAGTCAGACCCCCAAAATTTTTCGACCAAGTCAAGTCAAGTCAAGTCTAACTTGACTTGACTTGACTTGACTTGACTGGGGGCATTTTTGACTTGACTTGCCCAGCTCTGGATAAGACAAAATTATCTTTTGTAAGCATTCAGATTTTTGTGATGAATAGTAATAACCGAGTGAAGCCCGAGTCATAATTTGTTGTATATTGGAGAGTTACGTTACTGATCATTCTAATTATTAAAATATATAAATTAATACTGAAAACAAAATTTAAACGTAAAGTCGATTAAAAATATATAAATCGAATTATGTAGTTACATAGGTCAATAACCTGCTATTATATCGTTTAAAAATTGAAATCAACAACATATTCAATTGGATCAACTCAACAACCTAAATATCTCTTTATATTGAAAATGACTCCTGAAATTGAGTCGAAAGCTCTAGAAAATGAATTAATTATTATATAAAAACTAGATCAATCATTACGAAAAACAATCAATATGAATTTTCGATTTATATATTTTTATTTGGAAAAGAAATCCTATGATTAGAAAATCTTATTTAAAGTTGATTAAGTAAAAAATCGATATATTGATAAAATTACGCATTTCTTACATTACTATGATTAATTATTCAAAAAGAGTAACATCAAATTAACTTGGTAATTAAATAAACATTAATGATCTTTTATTTATAGTAAAGAGATAGCTTAGCAACTTGTAACAGTTATGTTTCATTTAGTATTCTATAGTAATGAAATATTTACTATAGATGAAATATAATAGAAAAAAAAATAGTTGAAGAGTTTACCATAGCTAATATGTTGCTGGATAAATGATTGACTCTACACGAGAATTTTTATATAAAATTCAATATTAATTCTCTACTTATTTTAGTAACAGATCTTAAATATATTTTCTCTGGATTATATTTAAATCCAATCACACTTTTATATAAACTATAATTTTGACATCATAGAGATTTCAATGTCGACAAAGATCAGAAGAAAATGAAGTCTTAGCTACAAAGTTTTACTCATATCATGGTGACATAGGGAAAATTAGTGAAAGTGATCAAAATTAGAATATTCATTATTATGAAAGTTTTCCGTTTGATAATTAATTAGAATTTTTAATTTTCCCTTTTTTTGTTTTTGACCAAACTCTAAGTATAATTATAGAATATAAAATTTCTAATTTTGTTTTTTTTTGCTTAGATTTACTGTAACATGAAATCAAAGATACTTAGACTAACACCCAACTGCTACTGATGATCGAAATACATTTAAATTTGATTACTGTGAAAAGTGATTATATCGCAACCAGTCAAACAAAATGAAACTAAGCAAGTTTCTCTTTTTTTGCGTTTTTGTAAAAACTTTAGATTGAGGTCAATCATCGATTGACTATGCACATATATATATATCACAGAAATGCATTGAGAAATAATTCATTCCATTAGTGTTTGAGTCAATTGTAGAGGGCAGCTATGAATAAGTAAATATTACTGGAAGTTTTCATTCTTATTATGAAAAGATGAAATAGATAATGAATTACTATTTATTCGAACTTATTCTTGTTATTGATGATAGGATTACTTATGATTATAGCAATTAAATGATATAGTTCAAAAAAGCAGTACTTATTTTTGCATATACCTTATAGTGAGCATATCAGTCTTTACTCTGTCATCTAAATTTTCTTTCTACAAATAAAAAACTTGTTAGCGCAGCCCCTTTGGGGCTAAAATGTGGAACTCACATATGATTTTTCGCCTAATTTACCTATACATAACGTGTGGTGCGAAATTTGCTGCAAGAAAATTGATCGGTAGAAATGTCTTATTTAGTTTTTGTCAGCTTGCTAATATCTGTAATGCCAGGTAGTGCCTGTAAGGGAGTCTTTAAGGGGGGCGTTAGGGAGTCTCTAAGGGGGTGCAATGAATCTATAAGAGGGTGCAAGGGAGTCTCAAAGGGGGATGTAAGGAGGTCCCTAAGGGGGTGTAAGGGGGTTGGGTCTGTAATGTGGGGCGATGTCTGTAATGGGGAGGGGAGGGGGAGCCACAAAAATCTCGCTTTTAAACTTACACTCACCATTTTCTTCGAAAATATATGTGAGTTCCACAAAAGAAAGGTTAAAATCGCGATACGTCTCTATAATTATATGAAATCAAATGTTTCTGTTTCTCTTCTAATACTACAAAGTTCCTATTTAACATTCAATATTCGATCTGGCACACCTTGTATTAAAGAATCCCTTCTCGATGTTCTTTTTATTATGTATCAAAAGAGAACGTTAAACGAGAGAAGAGAGGATATTGTACAAGAGAGGATAAAGCATCAAGGAATGCGAGTTGAATAAACACATTGTGAAGAAAGAAGTGAGCCAAGGAATGTAAACATATGACTGTAACACCTTGTATATTCTCTCAAACGTGTTTCGATTCAACATACTAATATTACATTAAAATTAGGATAAAAATTGTTTATTAATTAAAAATACACTATTCGAAAGATGCAAAAACATTTTTATTATTATAGTAGATAATAAGAACATACGGTCGTTATTATCAGTGACAAATTCAATATTTAAATGATGCACTAGCTTCGGATCAATCAGAGGACGTTCGAGACTATCAACAAGAAAACTTTCATTCATTCACGCTTGGATTTTCTCAATAAAAAAATTATTTTAAAGTAGTTAATGATGCATTATAGAAAAGGAAAAGTGAAATAACATGCAATATTCATTTTTAAAACATATGATACAAGATTGTTAGGATAAACTCAGAGAGCTATTTTCATATTCTATATAACTTTCTTTGGGATCCGATAAAATGTGTTATTAGATGCGTGATAGCTCAAAATTAGTCTTTTAAACCTATTCTTCAATACATGATGTCACAATATTTTATTCCTAAAATCTTTTGAAAGTTATATTCTGTTTACCAAATATAGTATAGATTTAGGTGAAAATTCTTGAAAAATAATTACATCATAATACGACCTCAGCAGTTTTCTCATTTTTCATCGTTAGTTCACAGAAAACTCATTGTTAATACACAAATTAAGTACATTATAAAATATGGCAATATTTTTTTTCGTTTAGAGAAATACTCCAGCAATACTATTGAATCATATGATTGAAAAAATATGAAGCCATAATAGAAACTTTTTTCGTTCTAATTTGAAATAGAAAACAACATGAAACATTACTGTTTTTCATAAATGAAATTGGATCATTATTTTGAATCCATACCGAGTGAATATCATTCATGTGATTACAAATTAATAACAATAATAAATAAATACTTTAATTTTAGCTTGCATGGAGATTTTGAATTTTTGAAACTTAATAGCAACCTGATGTTTATTTCAGTAAGTAACGATCGACATATGGCTTTTTTTCTCGTAGTATCAATAAATAACTAAAAAGTACATGCTATTGTATTTTATTTTTAGAAAGGAAAGCGTTAATACATTATGAGAAAAAGTAGAAAATGATCTTGACAATAAAATATTGCGTAGCAAGCATGAAGCAAATATGGCAAGTTTCTCATCATCTTTACAATTTATATCGTCGACAATATTCATATATATATATATATATATATATCATGATCACACAAGTGATAATATATTCTAACCATGCAATCATCAATTATTCTTATCACTGCTCTTGTGACCTTTTTCGCTGTTGGTTTTGCTGCTGAGTATCCATCAATATTAATAGACTCAGCAATTTACGATGATATTGCACTACCACAGGTTGGTTCTATTGTGGAAACACAAAACTAAAATAATTTGTCTTTCATATCCTAAACCCCTCTACAGTAATATTTGATGTTCTACTCGATATTTTGCTCATTTATCAATACATTAGTTCAATAGATATCTTTAAATAACAAAAAATAGAGTTAATTTTTAGAATCTTGAATCTATAAAAAATAATGCAGAATCATTTATTCAGTGAGAAAAATACAGATTTCACATTAAATCGATTCAAAAAGGTTAAATTTTCAAACTAATATGCGTATTAGCGCAATATATCAAATTCAATTGAGAACTATTGAATTTGCATAGAATGTTTTCTCTTTATCTTTTGAGTTGGAGACGAAGATGCACAGCAGTTCAAATTAAATATGAGAAACAGATATTCAGAGTATATTTTTATCTTTCTAAATAATCATTGTTACACGGAATTATTGTTCTTATAGAAAGTTTAATTATACTTACTATATTCATAGAAAGAACATCAAAATAAAAGATTCACAGTTTTCTCCAATAAATTACAAGTCGCAACAATGAAAATACTTTGGAGAGAGTGATACTTATCTACATTATGTTTCGAAGTCTCATAACTTACCATTGATTTCCTAGTTGTATGAAATAGTGAAAAGAGTTTTACATAATAATAAAATATCTATTTCTTAACAAACTTGGATTTTGTTGATTTTCTTCAAATTGATATTAATTTCAGCACAAGAGAACAGTTAAATTAAACATCATCAATACATTATATAGTTCTAATATAATAGTTGTAATTCTTGTTATTTTGTTTTTAGTCACGGAACGTTTTCCAACAAGTATGTTGTGATACAGATAATTTCTTATAGATAATTCTATTTGTATTTGACAGTTTCTGATTAACCAACTCGTTAATATTCTTCCTATAAATATTCGTGATGGTATTAATGATGCTGCAGCATTATTTGGAATGACACGTAATGAATTCCTTTTGAGATGCTTAAAAGAATTGCAAGCTTTTCAAGCCTACTCAAAAATTGATTTTATTACTGCTATACAAAAGACGATAAAATATGTTGATGAAAAGTTAACAGATGAACAAAAAGAAACATTAGAAAGTCTGGAACAACAAGGAATTGCAATAGCAAAATTATTGTTTTCGAACCAATTACAATCGGACCAAAAAACTAATTTTTATGATTTATTAGTTAAGGTTGTTAGGGAAACAATTGATGGTGCAACTTTTGTCATCGATTTACCAAAATTGGTTAATGAAATCTTATTGCAAAGCAATTGAAATTATACATCATGTGTTCTCTGATTTCTTTCTCCCATTCTGTTCTTTCTGTGTTTTAATTAAAACTTTCTAAAGCAGAATCGAACTCTGTAAAACATTAAAAATGAAACCAGAAACATATCAGAATATAATTTGTGTTGATGGAATAATAGCAATATTTAGCAGAGATTTTAACGAGTTGTTTCTAGATAGAACCATCCAGAAGTATATAAAAAATTGAATATTTAATTACGCATAATTTAAAAAAAGCATTCATTTTTCATCGAACTTCATCTTTACTAATTACTTATTTATATGTAAGTTACGTGAATACAATAGTAACGATGATTTTTCAATAGACTTAATTAATAATCAAAACAACTTGGAATCAATCATGGAAAGAAGAAGATAGAAATATTTCAATGTATGAAAAGCTCTTCTTGTATGAATGCTTATCAATACATATAAAATCCAACAAAGATAAAATCGATAAACTTAGACCCGGTCGAAGGAACGACTTCAATTTTAAGAGAAATATTCCTGCTTCTTCAGACACTGTTTCATAGACTTTAATATTTGATCACTATAAAGTTATCGAAGATACCTGTCACTGATGAAATGAAATGTCTAGTTCTACATCAATTCATTAGAATAAAAATATGCAAATGATTGTTTCTTGTTCATCATGTATTGAACTGCGTAATCTTTTTATCGATTTCTTTTTATTTGTTTCGGTGTAATCTCTCGTTCAACATTAACATTTTTATCTCTGCTAAATATGTAAGAATATAAAAATAAAAATTGTATTTAATTACTTAAATACCGATATCTATCATATTTTCGAAGGTTAAAATATCTAATTTTTTTTTCCAAGAAGGAAATAAATTTCTTTAATTCAAATCATAGACGAACTATTCGTTTATTTACATTTTTTATACTTTTTCAAAATAGATGTATACTAGAATCAATCCATAGATTGAGATTCTAGATATTGTGGAAGAATATTAATGGTGTTAGATTCGTCGAAAGGTTGCAATTCATGATCATTTTCAATTTTCATCCAACCATAAATTGAATCTTCATCATCAATAAAATAACTTCCATTGTAAAGTCTTAAGCGTTCTCGACGAGCGTAATCCCCGGGCCAATAATGATACAAATTGTTTTGTTCAGCAATCTCAACATAGCTTGATGTAACATTTGTAATTATAGCAACATGTCCATAAGGCATTTTGTGACTACGAGGATAGATAAGTAATGAGTGCTTTTTTGGTGGCTCCTTAGAACCGTTGGGAACAGACAACAATCGAAAGCATTGACCATCGGTGACTCGTTCAATACAAGATCCATCCGTCCAAATGTTAAATGCACATGGAATATCTCTAAATGTACAACTTTTACGCATTAATAACCATCGACGAGCAAATTCAATACATTGCCATTGATAACCAGTGAAAATTCCGTAAACATAATTGCGACCGCTACTAAAATAGCCAGTTTTTTTATTCGAATATGCTGGAACATTTGTTGATGCAATTCCTTCCATTTCATTAAAAGGAACATATCGATTGACAGTATTTGACATTATTTGCCCTATTACAAATAAATAAATAAGACCAATAGCATTGAATATATCTAGATCTAACTGCCTCTCTGAAAACTCTTATTGTTACATTACGTGTTTACATTCAAAAAAGCAAAAGCTTGCTAAATGCGTCATTCAGTCTTTTTTGATAGAATAGTTGCCATTGCTTGCTTCCTAATCAACAGCACACTTTTTAAAACCTGATCCATATGTTTTCGAAAACTGATTAACCATTTGAAAAAGAGATGTCTATGGTGCATAGCTTGTAGAAACAGTGAAAAACGACGTGCATTGATTCATTTAGTTTTATCGCATGTTTTTCACAAAAAACAAAACATAGTTAAAGTAATTTACAAAATATTTAAAGCATCTACTTATCAATTGTTTATATTTAAACAAGTATTGAAAAACAAAAAATTTCAAATATAACTACTCGGTTAGAAGTTGAGCAACTAAAGTAAGAAAGTCTCTTCGAAATATCTGAATCTAATTTTCAATTCAGTTTACATCATATATTGTAAAATTAAGCATAATAAGAAAATAGAATAGATTAGATTGATAGATGATATAAAAGAATCAAATATTTAAATCGAATGCATTTTGAAATCTACAAAAAACTTTCTGATTGTGAATAAGATTCTCTTGGTTGGTTTTGTTTTCTTATATAAATATTATGTTAATCTAAAAAAAGCTTCTAAAGTAATTAACAAAAATTCTATACTAAGAAAAAACTTTTAGTGTTAAAACAAAGTGCAAAATTACATCATGCACTGCTGGGTCGTTTTACGATTCCATAAGTGTTGCAAATTTATATTAGAAGAAAACGATCTTCATAAATTTGAAATAAAGTTTTTGTCTAAAAATCAAAAGATTTATTGATGCAGAAAATATTTCGCCCGAGTCATACTACTTATGGAAGATAGTTAATCGAAATTTTGAAATACAGAAATTGATAGAAAATTGAAACAAGTTTAATTTTCAAAAACTTGTTTTACATTAAATATTTGAAACAGAAAAATTTCGTAATATCTTATTTCTAACTTATATAAAAATAAAAATTATAATTCATTCTATATAACTGAAGCGATAAAACAATATTTTTCTCATTAAAATATATAGTAATTAAACTATTTCATAACTCTTTTACTATGTTTTACCTGATTATATTTCATTTGAATATTCAAAATGCAACAGTTTTTTCTACTTAATGAAGACATACTCACACTAGTTGTGTTTTCTTCGTTTTTCATGTTATTTATTTATCTATTATATTGTATCATGTAGATTTACATAAGAGGTCGCCTCGTAGCAGTTCTATTTACAATGACGACCTTATAGTATTAAGAAAACATAGTACGTATCTAAGATGGAAGTAGAGATTCATTTGTTTTCCTTTTTTAAATAAGTTTACTCGCTTACTGTTAATAGTACTAAGCGATTTAAAATTAAATATTAGCAGCTCAACAAATTTTATTTCTACACAACATAATTAGTATATGTTGAATTCTTCCAGTGAAAATTAATCTATAATTTAGGAACTCTGAACACTACTGACATAAAAAAAACATTATATATTGATCTATCTCTAATGTTTTATTTGTTCCGATCAGTATTTTTGTTGGAATCAAAAAACGTTTATCTTGATTCATACTAATTTAATCACGACGTTCAAATATACAAAAAAAATAAGCGTTTTCCATTCTTTCAATGAAATAATGTTTGTTGAGATCGTAATCCTTTCACAAGATCAGTTTTTACATTACGCACCAAATTTTCTTGAGTAATTTCAATGAATCCTGTATTATTTTGTTCTAAATCGAGTCTTTGTAAATCGTCAATTATTCTTTGGCTTCCATAATAAGGGTGACGAACAATATCTTCTTTAAAATGATGACCTAAAGTTACACATTCAGTATCGTTGACTAATACGGTGTGACCTCGATCAAGTACAAAATTATATACAGTTTCGCAGTATATAAGTTCAGGTGAAGAAACAAGTGAACAAGGCATAATCCATTGATCGTGAACTCGGATCGGATGCCAAGGAGTAATGATCAAATTATTTTCAAGCTATAAACAATTTCAGAAATTATACAAATAAACTTGAGTAATTAATTATAGGTTATGTCTTTGAAACTATTTGAAAAAAAAACTACTTTCATACTCACCATGATCATTTTCGCTTGCCGACTTTTCAATTTTGTTTTAACAACAAACACAACCATTCCACCATGTGGTGCCGTTCGGTCGTGTGGTTTGATATCTTTTACGAATTTAGTGGTTCCATTCATTAGACCTACTGTGCATTCTCCATAAAAACATCCACCAGCAGCATCGTAAAAATCTCTCATATCTATGGAAGCACCATTTCTCGTACGTTTTGGAGCAGGTAAACTGCAGAATATTTCGTCCATTTCATCGCGTACTTTTGAGAAAAGTTGACCTTTTCCGTAATGTTGAACACCTGGATCTTTGAAATTATTACAAAATTGAAGAAGATGAGCACCTGAAAAATAAAACCAATCAGAAAATTACAAACTGAATTTCTTATTTAGAAAATAAAAGCGTCACATAGGAGAATTTTTAATTAACTTTGTAAACAGTACATAAAAGATTTTTCTAACATCTCTCTTGAAAAATCAATCATTAATAATGATCTCTTTTGCATTAATCTATTATATATATTCAACATAATCACGAAACCGATTTATTGACTCGTATGTATTGGATCGAACTTACGTGCTAAACTTGGTAAAAAATGTATACCCCATTTCTGAAACCACTCTTGTTTTTCAACAGCTTGCTTTACTTGTCCTGTTAAATCTGTAAATAAATCATTCATAAACTGATCATTTTCAATTGCACAGCTCCTCATTTTTTTCTGTAATGTTTCAATATGATTGATTGCTGTTCTATGCCGTTGGTTTGTAGTTCTTAGTGTTATTCGTTTGTCACGCATTTTTTCTAATGCTGTTCGTACACAATTAACAAATTCTAGTCGAAATTTATGATGGGTTATAACATCAAGATTAACCTGTTGAACATTATTTGTCAAATTAAATTCGAGAATTTTCTGTGTGTTTCGTACATCATTATAAGTCAGCTTAAATTTACATGTACTGATAAATTTCGGTGAAATTGAAATTAGTAAATCTTTACTTTGGCCATATGTGATCGAACCTAAATCGAAATATGTGCCTTTTTTAGTAATATGCCTTGAATACCATTGCGTATAATTAGTAGGTTGAAGAAATTTATCATGAAGTAATAACTAAAATAGAAACAATATTCAGCAAGTGGCATATTCCTGATAGCTATTAAAAAGTATTTATAATGTTAAAGATAGTAAAATCGACTCGACTATTTTTTTAGGCTTTATATTTTGACAAATTTGTCTCTAGTTTTTTTAAAATCAATGTGAATGCGAAGTTTTCAAAATCAGTTTACCTATTACAAACGGGTGTCTACTTTAAAATGAATTTCCGTGTGTTTGTCTCTCTCTCTGTATATATACCAATAGATATTCAGTGTCTATGATAACTTTTTATATTGATCTCAGTCATAATCCAATTTCAATGTTAATATGCGAAAAGAATATTTCCTTTTCTAAGATAATTATAGTCAATTTACAAGTTTATTATTACCTGTACGTTGGTTGCTGCTGTAGTTAAGAGTGTTGAAATAGCATTGACAAAGACTGTTCCTACGAATGATCCATCGGGAATAAATGCATATGACCCAGAATTTCCTAATATAGAAATATCTTCAAGTAGTTTACTGTTCAATTTGTATCCAAAACCAAAAGTGTTAATAGCACATGTAAATCCAATTTTTTTCTTCAGTCTTTTTAATGATTTCAAATGACCGCCTGAAGGTTCTACGTTAGGACACCCATCAGTGAGAAGAAACAAGGATGAAATACTTCCGATAGAATATTGTTCTTTTGATAGAATGCCAATACCAGTTTGAAGACCATCCCATAAATTTGTTTCACCATGAGCCTAAATAAAAATTTAGAAATGAAAATGACGAATAGTTCATCATAGTATTTGACAATATAAAAAAAAAAGGAATTATCTATAGCTATGCTCTACAGGTTGTATCTTGGACGATATTAACTAAGAGAAAAGTTATTTAATGTCAAAGAATTTATTTATCTCAAACTATTTTGAAGTTCTCGTCGATGGATATGAGATGGTTTGGTAGCACTTTTCTTAAACTTTGTCAGAAACATTGTAAAATTTTCTGATTATATCTGCTGTCTTTATTGATTTTCATGGAATGTAAGTTAGAGAAATCTCCATCAATTTAATTTAGGTACTATTCGAACTATTATCATTCTATGCATAGTTATCATGGAACTCTCCTATATTTTTGAATGATCTACTAACCGACAAGTTTTCAATTGCAGCTAAAGCATGCTTTTTTCCTTGGTAATCCATTTTTGTTAAGTGAAACACGATTCTAGCACTGTGCGAAAATGATACAATTGATAATCGATCTTGATTCTGAAGAGAATAAATTATTGTCTTTATAGCATGCTTGACCAAATCTAATTGTGATAAATCATATTGTTCATTTCGATCATTTCGAATATCGACTTCGGTAGACATTGAGCCTGAAGTATCAACTACGCAACAAATATTACATGGAGAACGACTTTCATCTATTGGAGGCTGTATTGAGATATGGACGAAGCCATCAGCATGACTTTTCAATACGGTAATTTCAGATAAATGTGCCTGTGTTAGATGAGGATTCGATTGAATATCCGGTTGAACTGAGCAACGATTATTATTAATAGTTTTGGTAAGAGCACAACTTGGACGAAGATTATCAATGGAATAAGGAGTACAATTCGTTGTGGGTGCATCTTTTTTGTGAATACTATTGTCACTTCCATATTTCTCATAGCTGTCATCATCGCGATCCATCGATGAATCTACTATAAATGCATGTGTGGTGAGATCGTCGAACAAAAGTGCTGATGAATCTATCATTTTTTTCCAAGTGACTGTTTGATTAGTAGTGTGGATTTCTCTTTTATTTTTTTTTTCTAAATATGTTTACATTTTTATAGCTTTATTTCAATAGTAATTAGGTGACGTATGGTGTAAAATCCCATACCTTGAAACTGAATGTGTTATAGAAGCCAGAAAAATAACAACATGAATATTATTGACCTCCACGATTGATACACATCAATGAATACAGGTATATACATGATTTAAGGGAAAATAACATGGTAGAAAGATTGCATTATTATTAATCATTCGTGTTTTTACCAGAAATCAGAATTAGAATTTAAAAAAAGGTAAAAACCCAGAATATGATATTTGATGGAGCGAAGGTCATACATGAGTCAATACTTATTTTCTTCTACTTCAGAGTAGATGATAAATGAAATGCGACTCTTTTCAGGTATAAAACACAGTCGGAAACATACCTAATTGTAAATTAAAAAATAGTTTTTTTTACAACTCACTCTGATAGACTTGACATACGTTGAGTTTATCAAAATAATGCTTGTCGTTGCGCCAAACTAGTAATCGACGGAACATATTGCGATAACAGTATGAACATTTTGTGATACTTTATTCGTACGTAAATAATATGTGCGCTTCATTACATTAGAGTTGTGTTCAAACCAACTTATAATAGATTTATAATTTTGTCTGATCTTCATCTACTTATAACTCAGAAACTTGCCTTTTAAATATCCTCGTTTCAATTCTGCGTATGAATAATCCCGAACCATATCATAAGTTACAAACTATCGACATTCTCAATCTACGGTAGTTGTAAAATGATACAGGCATAGCAATATGCTTAAATGTTTGTAGCTAAAACTTGCGAAGATCATTCTAACATATCCTTCTTGGACACTTTTTGAAAACTTCTTTTTTAAGTGTATACGCGTACTTTTGTATGTGCATGCGCACTTATGCGACAACATTTATGGCAAAATTTAATTAATATATAGTGATGTTACAAATTCCGACATCCGAAGAAGTACTCTCACTTTTAATGTGACACGCAGCATCAGTCAAAATCGATGTGAAAACTGTTCCAGAGTTCTGGATATGCAAAATTGATGTTGAGACGCAATACTGTTACTGTCACACATTGAGGTGTTTTAAGTTGAGTAGTGCCAAAACGAGACATGAAAAAATCCATATTAAAATCAATTTTTCTCATCAGTAATCGAGAAAATCGAACTTTCATTGATTGATTTGATGAACCTTTGCTATGATCGTCGAACAAACTCGAGTCAAAGCATTATTTTCGGTATTGTTTGCTAATCGATTCTCATCTGAATTTTAACCAAAAACCTTTTGATGGCATTTTGAAATCATGATCTTCTTGATTAGAATAAATTTAAAATCAGTCTCTACTCGATTGAATAGTACGATTTTAATAGGATAATTTTTAACTTTTAATCATCGTATTAATTTGGTGGTTTTTTTTACGTAAGTAAACATTTTATATTTTTGTACGACTGTTAAATTTATTATGTAAAGACTGATTTCCAATTCGGCATGACAGATGCAAACAGTTCCGTCTATAGAGTAAGTAGAACATTGGACTCACAATGAATGTTTGCGTTGTGGCCTATTAAAACGATTAAGTTCGCTCTCAATACTAGAGTAATATGTTGATTCAATGTGTCTTGTTGTTCATATAGAAAATTGATTATTCATTGAACATATTTTTTTTAAATCAGTTTGCATGCTTTTTCTCGCTCTGTCGTTTTTTTTCTATAAAGAGCAGAAATGAAAAAAGAAAAATATATAAAAAGACGACTAACGTATCGAAGAAGTATTCTTTTTAATGCAGCAATGCATCAAACAGTTAAGGCTAATGAAATTTTTTTGTTCTGAATCTGCTATTGCCTTTTGCCTTCTTTACTCGTTGTAATGAAGACAAACACATTGCATTGCTTCGTTACAACACTCGCCACCGAAAGCACGTGACAACTCCTCAGATACAAATCACGAAAATTCACAACGTTAAACTAGGTAAGTAGAATTGAAACAAATCTATCCGCATTATATTATCTTATTTTCATAATTTCTCTGATATTAATTTAGATTGAAATGTCACTTGAAGCATTAGACTATCAAACTTTATTCGAAAAGATTGAAAACGGAGAGTTGGAAGAGCTTGCGGCTGTTTATCATCAATTGGGATGTCTGTCTACTAATTTAAGTCGAGCTATTTCTTTTTATAAAAAATCAATAGAAATTAATCTTTCTTATCGATCAGTTGATGATGGTCTTCTTTCTGCGAGCTACAATAATATTGGTGCTCTTCTACAAAAGCGTGCTGATTATGATGAAGCCTTGAAATACTACCGTCGTGCTTTAAATATTGATTTACGTGATCCTGACATTAATCAACTTAAAATTGCTGATCGTTATAACGATATCGGTAGTGTATTAAGAGACCATGGTAATTATAAGGAAGCAAAGGATCATTTTCATCGTGCATTAAATATTCAAACTAAGTATATTTCATTCAATGATCCAATGTTAGTTAAAACTTATAATAATTTTGGTTCGCTATACCATTTGATGGATCAATATTCTTTAGCATTCGAATACTATGAGAAAACTCTTGAGATTCTTGAAGCGTATCTTCCTCTACAACATTCGGCTTTAATATGCACATACAGCAAACTTGGATTACTATATTATGCAATGAAAAATTATACAGCTGCTTTTTCTTGTGAGAAGAAAGCTTTTGAAATACAAGAAAAAATAGTTTCTTCTGATCATCCATCATTGGCTATAAGACACTTTAATATGGCTGTAGTATTAGAGAGTTTAAAATTAAATGAAACAGCAATCGATCATATTACACGAGCGGTTGAAATCTTAGGACAGACACCTGGACCACATCAACGTAAAATACGAAAATATCAACGGTATCTTCAACAACTTCATGAAAAGTAATTATTTTCAGTTGTATTCAGATTGTTTTACGTCTTTTATTTTTTATTTGATTTAATTAAATTTTTCACGAAAATCTAAAAAAAGCTGTTTTTTTTCTTAGATTACGGTAAATGTTTATGACAGTAATTATGATAACAATAATATAGATATTTTATAAACCATCGATCTGTTTTAAAATTACGATAATTGTGTTAATATTAGCATTACTACATACTTATCATAATACTTTCTCATTATTTTGCATTTTTAGTTTTTTATTGGAAATATGTTACCATTAAATTATAATTAGAGATCACTTCGAGCTATCAAGATATCACCCTGACGGAACAGATGCAGTCAAATTATCCATAAATAATTAGATGACCCGTGTTTTTATTCAATATAATTCATTGTCAATGTGCTTATCTGTTTCTGATAAAGTCCTAACAGCTAATAAGAATCTTAACAAATCTGACTTCTTCATTACGTGTAGATTAGTTGAATTCTTACAGTTTGGAATAGCTCAGCAATGGAACTACTGTATCATTACATAATAACAGTTATCGGAACGTTGAGATTTTGAATCCTGTTGGTTAGTCAGAACAGAACATCGTTATTCTGTTTCTGCAAGTGATATTGTTGTTTATGAAACACGTGTCTATTCTTCTGTTGAAAAATTCTGAATCAAATCTCTCAGTAATTTAGTCGTGATCAGTATATATAACAGAGTATAAACAAATGCTAGCATCTTGGTTTCAAAACTTTCTATTAAAGATAATAAAAAATAGAGTTAGCCGTATTTTTAATACTAGTCCTAATCGAACACTCGGAATCAATATTATTATTATTCTGTAAATGAGAGTATCTTTTAAGAAAAATATTTCGACGAATCTTTCTAACAAGTCTTTTATCGACAATAATATCTTGAATTATTTGGATAGTTTTTTATGCAATATTAATTGATAATAAATATACGATAATATAAGTTTGTTTGTTAAAAACGATTGGTGTTAGAAATATTCTAAAAATATTTTTAAGAATAATACAAAAATATGATTCAGATGAAGCTTTCTTTTTTCTGGTACTCATTTTATTTCCTGAAAATCGAATTAAAGATAGATGAGTGAAACATTAATCTTTGTCTTGTATTCGTTTGATGTTTTTATCATTTTAATAGTTTACGATAAAGAGCAAACGGTACAGCATTAATAGCCGATCAAAATCAACACATGTTGAGTTGAAATAGTCTAATAACATAATTGTTATCTGTTGATTTTGATTTTGATTTCTGTTCGGCAACCACTTTAGATTTGATTAAAACCGAAGGTAAGTGGTAGTTTATTTTGATTTATTTATTTTTCTTGACAATTGATGTCTTGAATAAATTCATATTGCGTGTACAAGTGTTCTGTATCATGCAATTTAATTAATACTTAAATTTGCTATTGTTAAATTAAAATTCATATGAATAGTTTATGAGTCTTCAAATTCATCAATCTAGCGACGTGGGCGCTAAATAATATTACTTGTTAGTAGTTTATGTTGATGGAGTGAGCTGTTTTATTATAAGCATATATGATAAATGATTTAGTTTATAATTCATTCTCTTGCAAAAAGAAGAATCGTTAGATAAGGAAAATCATGTATTCTAAGAAGTTTTTTCCACTTCTTAAATAATAAAAGACCTGTATTTGAAAATAGTAAATCCTATCAGAATCAAAGCTCATCCATGAGAAAATAATTCCATTCATAAAATCGAATGATGCCGCTAAAATAGCATACTCATCAGATTGTGAATCGGATTCGTTTTTTTCTCGAAATTCAACAAAATAGTGTGTTGAAACATGTTTTTCATTATCTTCTTCTATTATTGTTATACTTGTTTTCTATTGACTAATTTCAGTATCAACTTGTTTAAAAAAAATCAAAATAGATAGTTTGGAAGATAAAAATAAGCACAACTATTTTTATTTGACAAGTAAAATATATAGTTTTGTATAGTTTTCTATTGACAAACAACTATATTAATAAAGTGCGATTCCTAATAATACTAGATGAATAAAAAAAAACTCAAAATAACCAATAAAATTAATAAAATTAAGAAACAATATTGTAGATAACTGAGAAAAATATCTTCATTTTGTTTTTGAACGGTATACATATTATTAATGTGTACATCCTGAAGAATTAACTATCAAGAGTTATAATAGAAGCTCATTGATTTCGGTAGAACAAAGAAAGCAAAAAAATAATGTTCACATCAGACATTGAAGAGTATTGTAATTATGAAGTTCTTTGTTTAATATTAATCTAATTCCTTATCTCAATATCTATTATTGTACTTTTTATGGTAGATTTTACATCAAGATTTTTATA